TTCTTGGCTGTCGTATTTATGTTAACATTTGGTATTTTTGATGATGCTTGATTGCAACCATAATAACCCCCAATATCTATACATTAGTATTAACGTTTAACAGTTTTGTATAAGATTACTGTGACCTTAGGAACACATCTATGACTTTGAAGCCTTAACTTGCAATTTACTCCTTGGATGGCTGTGGAAAAATGGAGTCTGAATTTGTTCATGAATTAAGTGTAGTGCTCTGTAACTTGTTCTGAGTATGCTTGACCAATTGTAGTGGAGGATTGCGCTTGAAACGTGATATAACAGAGTATGGGGAGTTTGTTCGTAGCTTCAATGCCCCTTCAGTAGATGAGAAATTCGAATTGCTGGGAATGTGAGTTGGAAATCTTAGGAAGTCTTAGGCCTTTCTTATTATATAATTTAAATAAATTTCCCCAAACTGATTATTTATTATTATCATTATTGAATCTAGCATGGCAAATGTCTTCATTGTCGCTCCCGAAAGCCTCTCCTCTCTTGTTGAGGGAACCCCAAGCATCAGGAAAGATGCACAGAGGTAACATTCTGCTCTTTTCACTATGTGTATGCATGCAACTTCTATTTTAGCATCCATTGGTGATAGTTGCCTTCCTATTCAGGCACACTCCTTTGCGTACCCACTACCTTCGTTCCCTTAAAAAAAATCATTTTTTTAACTCAAAAGTCAAAACAGTAATACAAAAATATAATTTGTTTTGGGATGAGGCCCGAGGGTAGTATATATTGTAGTTGAGCATTGTGAATGCACAAACGTATGAGTTCTGATGACCTGGTTACTACAAAAGTCCAATCCTTTGTGCAAAATTTGGAATATAGAGAATTGTGTAGAATTCGTCAACTTAGGAACGAATTTTACATTTGATCACATCACCCATACTTGATCATTGCATAAGAGTTAGGGGGTGTTTGGAACTGATTCTGCTCCTTGAAACAGAAGCAAAATCAGAATCAGTTTTCAGAAGATGGTCTCCCCCGGCTTCTAAAAAATTGATTCTAGAAGTAAATTAGAGCACAAAAAATACTTCTGTACTTTCACCCAAACACTCCAACTTCTTCTGCTCCCTGAAGGAGCAGAATAAATTTTAAGAATCAGATCCAAACACCCCCAATCGCATGATTGTTAAATTTTGTTGACGGGAAAAGCCAATGTAGAATGCCACAAAAGTCAATTTAACCATTGATTTAAGTTAAATTTAGCTTTAACTTTGATCAAGTTTGAAATTCATTGCAAATTGTTGAATTTATAAAGATTTGACTATATTCCAAAATCCGCGCGAAGGATTTGGCTATGATTTTATTTTTGAATATAGTAGCCTCTTTTTTACCTTCCTATATTTTTATTTTCCTCTTTCTAGAGTTTGTTATGAGCATTTTTTTAATTTGCTGTTTATTTTAGGTTTATTCAGCTTCGAGAGGACTACAAGAGTGCAAAGCTTGCCTCCAAGCTCAGCTCCTTGTTTGGCTAAGGCACATATGTTACCTCATACAGAAGCTGCATTCTAGAAAAACTCTGACTGAGTGACATGTTGGCCTTTAGTTAGAGGGGCATGCTGGTCTTTTAAATGATGACCTATGTAAATTATAATTATTATTGATTAGTACACTATAAAAGATCAAACTCTGTCATTTATAAACAATACATATGGGCATAGTCTAGTTACGGATGAAATTTGTTTACTCTTACGGTTTTATGGGCAGTCTAATTTATACTCTTGTGATTGAGAGACCTCCCTACGACTACATTGAAGGTGTTAACCAGTCACATTTGTCGCCTTGTCGGTACCAAATGTTATTTTATGTCAAATGCACAATGGTAACTCCGGAAGTCCGGAACCAGAATTCAGGCCAACAGTGCAACAGGATCAATACCATCTCAATCCCACAGTTTTATTCAACAATCAAGCATTTTGAAGGTTGATGATGGTCAGATCTGAATTGTATTGGAACATGTCAACCAACCCCTAGTGCCAACACAAGCCTTGTGAGTTGTGACCATTGTTATAATGGCACTTGAGCGAGTTGTGGTGCCAACATATCGCCTTATCGCCTAGCTATCAGTCATCATTTGTAATACGTAGTATTTAAATATAATAAAATTATATATTAAAAGTTAAATTATACTATCCTCCGTTCCATAAAAGTTGCAACAGTTTGACTTTCACATTTGCCAACGCGCAACTTTGACTGTAATTATATTTATTTATGTATTAGTAAACATTAAAAAAAGTTAATATATTGGAAATTTACATTAATACAAATTTATTAATATTTTATACATAATATTTTTATTATATATATTATTAGAAAATCGTAGTCAAAATGAGGTGTGTGAATAGTGCAGAAATTCCAATGTTGCAACTTTTATGGAACGGAGGAAGTACGTAGTACGAAGTATATAACTCATTTTTTAAGAAAAGTGTTTAATAGTTCAAAAAAGGAGTAAATATCCATCAATAATACCACAAACGAGTAGTACATGAACTTCAACTATTCAATACTACATACATCCCCTAAATGTGATGCATGAAGAAGTGATAGAGTTATTAAGAAAAGAGAGAATGAAGTATGAATGATGTAGAATCACACAAAAATATCAAATTTGATATGTGATAAATTTAATGGGACAATTCAAAAGGAAAAATGAACAATCTTAGCGGGACGAATGTAGGGATGGACTCGGGTCCGGGTCGGGCCTAGGCCCGGGCGGGCCGGCGGGTCAGAAATGGTGGACCCGGGACCGGCCCGGGTAACCACCGGGTCCGGTCCGGGCCGGGCCGGGCCCATTATATTTTTTTTTGTTTTCTTCTTCCTAATTAGCCCCCTCCCACCCCCAACCCCCCAAACCACCCCAAATGGCCCAAAATACCCAGCCCAACCCGAAAACTTAAAAAAAATTGAAAAAAAAGAAAAAAAAAATAGTTTTTGGCCCGAACCGGGCCCGGGCCCGGCCGGATCGGGCCTTGTTTTGGGTGACCCGAGCCCGGACCGGAAAACCCACGGGTCGGGCCTACCCGGACCGGTCACTGACCGGGCCACCGGGTCGGGCCGGGCCGGAACAGTACCGGTCCCGGGCCGGTTCCGGGTCGGGCCACCCGGCCCGAGTCCATCCCTAGACGAATGCGTCATAATATGTGAGCACAAAAATCAAGTTGTTAAAAGACGGAGTACAACTCCATGGAAAATGATGTTAATCCATTTTTAATATTGGATTCCTATTGGACACAACTGTATAATACTCCGTACATAAAAGGAATGCCAAAAAAGAAAGTAGTTCAGACATCAAAGTTATGAGTGACTGTAGACTCTGTAGTCTACGACAGAGGGCCTACATAAATGACTTTCGGTGACGGTTCACGATAGATTGAAGGCTATTAGAATTAGGATTTTTTGGGGTCGGATACGAGAGTAAAAAACGTATAGCATCATTATGGAGATTGAGTGACACCTAATAGACGTCACAAGTCACCTAAGACCATTTGGAGTGGTTAGGAGTCTAAAAACTTAAATATGAAAAACGATGTATAGACTCTGTCAATAACGTTTTTTCCCGCATTCCAACACCGTCAATAAAATACTCTACATTTTTTTGCATATCAGTTTAATAAAACATTAATTAAATTATTATAAGTAATAATTTTCTTTGATTTTATTTCTAAAGAGTTACGGAATTAAAAAATACACATTTCGATGTTAAATATTTAAAAATATCATTAATTTTTTTTTTACTATTTTCACTTTTAATAAAAAAGTAAAATGAGTTCATGTAATATTCAGTTATTTGTGGAGGCAACGTAAATTAAAAATTTGTGTTTCATGTTTTTAGGCCTAAACAACTCTCTAGTTGTTGAAACTTCAATTTTTTAAAAATTTTATACATATATTTTTGATGTCATATGAAAGATCGTAAAAATTTATGAATTTTGATATATTTTTAAAAAAAATCGGACCGCAAACAAAATAGTTTGTCTTTTAAGAGTGATTTTTACACATGAATGACGTCAGCATGACGTCACTTGCGTAACAGCAACCACACGCAGGCGGCAGACTCTTTCTCCTCCTTTTTTCTTTTACTTTTGGGCTGTCTAAACTCTTCTATATTTGAACTCTCCCACCCCCCTTTCCATTTTTAAACCCCATTTTACTACTCCAATGTAAGCAAATAGGAGTCCAAAAGCTTCACATTTAGCTTTTTGGACTCCTAAAACCTTCCACTACAAATGATCTAAGAGACTTCAAGCGAGTCGACACAAAGGGAGCAACTCCAACATCATTGGGACGCCTAGGCAATGTCGTGATAATTATGCTTTAGGTCGCTTTGTTTCTCCAAACAAATTTGTGGAAGTGTTTATTCAATCTTCACACGTTCATTGGGTATTGGCCTATTGGGAGATGTCCTTTTTGCTGTACATCGAACTAAAGGACACACTCCATTTGTGATTCAGTTTCAATTCTTAATTATCTTAACTACATGCAAGAACTAACCAGAACTAGTTATAATCAAAGCGGTTTTAGATTTCTTGTAACAAACGATGATTCCAGATCAAATTCCAATATTGGGTCTATTCAAATGAATTATTATACTTGTTTCTAAATCTTTAGATAGAATTACACCAAGACAAGTAGATAAAAACCGTTAAATGATGTTTTCAATTGGATTGATTTCAGTCTCAGACTGAAGATTCTAAAGTACACTAGAATAGACACTTGTCAGACCAAACAAAATTGATACTATTAAAAACATTCCAAGTTTTATTACCCTTCCAACCTATGTAGAACATTTTACTTCCAAACAAGCATTTCCCCAAATGTATTTCCTTGGGCTCAAATGGAACCCGAGTACTTCAAGAGTTTATTAATTCAGTGCAATGTCCAGATTGGGATCTGAGTACCAACATTCTTTGGTATCTAATCTGAACCGTCAATAAATAAGGTGAATAGATGAAGCAACTACTCACTCCCGAAGTCAACGGTGACGAAGAAACAAAGTGCACTAAGTGATTTAGTAAAACTACAATAAACTTCCGGTGACAATCAATTTGACAAAAAAAACACAAAAAAAAAACAACGTTGAGGTTTATTTGCAACAAACATTTTCAGTTCACTAAGAAACAAACATTAACACATGAAACATAACTACTATAGAAAAACTACAACACTATCATATAATCTCGGTCTCAGAGGTGATGGTGATGAAATATATGTATTGTCATTGGCTTTTTCTCTCTTCTTGCCGTGTTCCTATATATCATCATATAGAGCTAGCCCCGGGATAACAAAACAGTCCTTTCTTTAATCCAACTTCACAGAAGAGAAGAGGTAATGCACAAACCAGAACGAGGAAAGGAAGCCGACTGTACCAGTGGCAAGCATGATTGCCACAACCATGAAAAGAGAGTACCCCAAGTAAAGGGTGGCCGAAACTGGCCCGCTCAAGCTCTTGAGGTCAAAGATCAGATAGTTGATAGAGTACAAGAAAATATATATAGCAACAGATCCAGAAGCAAAGAACGACTTCCACCACCACTGCCAGTCCTCCACACACAGATGCATGTAGGTCAAAACGAGTGACACCTCAGCACACACAACCACTAGGAGGACCATTACAATGAGGAGAAACCCAAAGACATAGTAAGCCCTTCCCATCCATAGGCTAGACATGATGAAAAACAGCTCAATGAAGAGTGTCCCAAATGGTAGGGTCCCTGCTCCAAGGACCAAGAGCCAAGACGGGTACTTTTGGGCGGGGATTTCCCTAGGGATTTGGTTGGTACGGACCGGATACTCAATGTGGGGTGCCTTTGCCCCTAGGTAACCCCCAAAGAGGGTAAGTGGGACCGAGATGCAAAACCATAGTAAGATAAGAATGACATATAGTGAGAATGGAATGGCCCCAGTGCTATGGCTACCCCAAAGCAAGAAATTCAAAGTGGTGAGTATAATGAAAGAAATTCCTGGGAAAAAGCAAGCGGCTTTCCACGAAACAGAAATCCATCCCTTGTGATCACCACAGAAGATCGTCCTCCATAGACGAACTGCCACATACCCAGCAGCAACACCGAGAATCATGTAGATGAACAGCATTCCAGTGATCAATGTCCCACGTGAGGCAGGGGACATGAATCCAAGGGCTGCAAAGAGAATAGTGACCAAACCCATCCCTAGGATCTGGACCCCGTCCCCTACCATTACACACAACAAGGCTGGATTCCTAGGTGCCCGGAAAACATCTGCGACGACAAGTTTCCAACCAGACAACTCCTCATTCATTTGGGCCTGGGCCTCCTTGTCGAGCTCCTCGTATCTTGTCAGGTCCCGCCTTACTGTCCTCAAGAAGATGACAAGAACAATTCCTGCCAAGAAAGTGATGACCATTAAGGAGTTGAGGATGGAGAACCAATGCACCTTTGACCCCTCCATCTTCAAGTACGCGTCCCATCTCGACGGCCACTTAATGTCGCTCTCTACAAAGTTAACCTCATATGAAAAGCCCACCGGCTCATTTTCTTTTATGGCCATGCCTACTCTACTCGGATCACACCTGATTGGCGATGGGTATTTTTCATACATCTTCAAGTTCTTCATTGAATCCAGATTGTGCTGGAAACTACAAGGGACAACCTCAAACCCGACAACCATGTACCCCGGTGTGTCAGATCCTGCTTTCCCGACCGTTGGGATCACCTCAGCTGCATCGCCGGTACCCATCACGCGGGCCACATTTGTCTCCTCGTACTTGTGAACAAGAACAGTTAACTTCAAGTGATTAAACACATAATAAGTTTCTTGAACCTTAACTCCAACTGGGTAACCGGTCCACCTCAAGAAAAAACCTTCCTTTGTGGTGTACCTAATGGCAGGCAAATTATCAAGGATCAAGTTGACCTGATACATCTCATCGATTCTCTTCTTCAGTAGCTTAAACTCTTGCCCTGACAGTGGTTTGGACTGACAGAGAAAAGCCTCAGTTTGGTTTGTGAACATCTTAAACCTGTAGGGTGAGTTCTCGATCCTATCTCCCATCAGGAGCTCACCCAGGTTTTCAGCACTGTCCTTGATACCATCTTGGGGCTTACAGAAGGGCAAACTATAGTAACTGAAAGGAATCTCAGTGTCAATTGAAGTCAGGGAATTGACTTTCACATTCAAGAAATCTCCAACCCCATATTTGTGAGGGTAACTACCCGGAAGATAAAACCCATGACCCAATGTAAATACCAAGCAGATGAAGAAACCCCAGATCTTAAATTTCTCCAAGAATCCCATTTCAGGCCGTTTTCTGACCGGATCTGGTGGCAGACCTAGATCAAGAGAATCACAAGTACAATGGAAAGAGTTAACTATGCGTTTTTCAAACTTTCGACTGTAGATCAAGATCCAATAAGTCAATACGAAACAATATTATACCTCTAGATCGAGATAGGGGCAGGGTTTCAGTTGAAACTTGAAATGAAGATAGGTAAAAGAGAGTACGTCATGAAAATGGTAGTTTACAGATCTTATAACTCATTACCTGAGGCAGAAGGAGAAGACTGCGACAATGGTAGTGCGGATGGTGGGAGAGAATGTGAGAAAAACAGAGGACGGGATCGAATCGCGTGACAGAGACGTTTTATACCCAGCTCCTCTCTTCTCCGTCGGTGCGAGATCTCGGCATCTCTTTCAGACCATTAATCGGAATGACCATTTTGTCCCCCGACAGGCTTAAAGGGGGAAAAGTAAATTTTACTCTTGGTCCGTGATACGGAAAGTAGATCAACCGATACTTCTAATAGAAGCTGTTTCATTCAGATGCTTTTTAGATAACTAAATTGTACTTCGTCCGTCCCTTAAAGATTTGCCAAGTTTGATCGGCACGTAGAATAATATAGTAAAAAATGTGTGATAGATATTTGTGCAGAGTAGAGAGAAATAACAAAGTGAAATTTCATCTTAAAAAACAGACATTTATGTGATGATATAAGAGACTAAATGATATGTGCGGAGGAGAGAGAAATAACAAAGTAATATAACTCTTTCCATTGTACTTATTGGAACCACAGATTGATTGATTAAAAGGGAAAGTGACAAAGTTTTTGGGACAAACAAAAAAGGAAAGTTGACAAAGTTATAAGGGACGGAGGGAGTACAAGTAATGCGGAAAGTTAGTTGTGAGAAAGTATACAAGAATGACCAAGGATTGAAACACACAGCGGTCGTGTGGACGTTACAGGTCCTGCATGCTGATTTGGTTCTCTGGTGCGCACGAGTACAAGGTCTATCATCATTGAGATGACTGAGTTACCATGACTTGCAACCTCCCAAAAGTCTTGTTCGATCGGGGCGTGGGGGCCCTTTCGGTTGGAGATTCAACCTTTGGAGTAATAGATAAATTGCAGAACCAGGGGCGTAGCTGATCTCGTAGAAAGATGTTTCACAAGGGAGAGATTTTAGATTCAATTTCAAACAATAATTTAAGATGAAAATTCACTTTGTTTTCATCATAGTGTCATCAAAACTCAATCACATCCTCTCACATAAATGTCTGTTTTTTAGATAAATTGTACAAATGGTATTTAAAGTATCATCACTTTCTCATTTTGGTCTTTAAATTACGGAGTATTAAATATATCATTTTAGTTCTTATTATATTTACTCAATTACTCTGTATCAATACAGTCCTTATGTCATTATAACAGTTCAGTTTATAGAATGTTCAAGGTATCAAAAAATCACGTGTGTATGACAATTTATATTTGAAACATTGATCACTTGAAAAACAATTCATGAAAAAGATCAAATATTTTTTATTGCAAAAACAAATTCATTTTATTATAAATCATCCATCTAATAATCATGGACATATTTATAGGGGCGGGGGCAATTGCCCCCTCTCAACCTCATTCTATATTAATTCTTGGAAACCAAATTGCGCTCCATAACTTAGTGGATGGAGTGGTACACTTTCAATAAAGTGGACAAAGTTTGAATCTCTTTAACAACTTTTTTTTGTTAGTTTTTCCCCTTTGAAAGCTTTGTCTAGATTTTGCCCAAACCTAAGATGTAAATTAGTTTAATTTTTTATTGTAACTAATATTTTGATATGTAATTTCGATTACATCTTTTCACACACAATATTAAAAGTTACTTGTTTATTTGGAATTTAAATTAATTATAATCGCATATTTAATTTGTTTGATGTATGTTTTTCATTTTAATATTTAATGAACTATAGATTGTGTAAATTCAAAATCCAAACTAGTTTAAAGTGAAGTTTTTTTAATGTAACTAATAAATGATATGTAATTAATCTCAAAAAAATGACATGTAATTCTAATCACATATTTTCTCACTTAATATTAAAACACACATGTTTATTAGTAACTTAAAGTAGTTATAATTATATATTTCATTCATTTCTTACAATTTTTTACTTCATTATTAATAAACTATCAATTTTGAAATTACTGTTTATTTCTGAAAAAATTGTGTGATAATGTTAGTGTAAACTTGCCCCCTCCTCCTAATCGGGTTTTCTGGATACACCAATAATAATGATAATGATAATGATAATATAGTGATAATGATAATGATAATGATAATGATAATGATAATGATAATGATAATGATAATGATAATGATAATGATAATGATAATGATAATGATAATGATAATGATAATGATAATGGTAATGATAATGGTAATGGTAATGATAATGATAATGATAATGGTAATGGTGATGGTAATGGTGATGGTAATGGTAATGGTAATGGTAATGGTAATGATAATGGTAATGGTAATGGTAATGGTAATGGTAATGGTAATGGTAATGGTAATGGTAATGGTAATGGTAATGGTAATGGTAATGGTAATGGTAATGGTAATGGTAATGGTAATGGTAATGATAATGGTAATGATAATGACAATGAGAATGACAATGAGAATGACAATGAGAATGACAATGACAATGACAATGACAATGAGAATGACAATGATAATGAAAATGATAATGATAATGATAATGATAATGATAATGATAAAGATAATGATAATGATAATGATAATGATAATGACAATGACAATGATAATGATAATGATAATGATAATGATAATGATAATGATAATGATAATGATAATGATAATGATAATGATAATGACAATGATGACGATGACGATGACGATGACAATGATAATGATAATAATAGTAATAATTATAATAATAATAGTAATGATGATGATGATAAAAACACCGATCCTTATTTTCGTGTTTAATTTTATTAGCACATATTGATATAGTTGAGTTATTTGATTCCCTCTTAAGAAAGTAAAGCGTGACATGTTTATTATTTTTTACACATGATAGATAATTTAAATATAAGTTGCTATCCACGTGGTGTTCACATGGTAATATGTTGCACCTACCGTCAATATATTAAAAAGTAATTAATATGAGTATATGCATGATTTCCTTAAGAGCGGATCAAACATCTCAAGTATACGAAGACATGTAGGGGCGATGATGATTCGGCCATCATATAGGGGCGATGGTCCCCATCATGGAAGGGATGGAGAGCCTGATCGATAGCTCAAGATTCTCGGTGCTGAAGAAGCCGGTCTTGAGATAGATAATCACGCCGAGGGTGAGGGGCCGGACGTGATGTATGGACGTCAGCACTGGGAGGCCGATCCACAAGTCCGTGCAGCGGTCCTTATCCATAAAGTGAGAGGATGGGGCCGGTCTTCAGAGTATGATGATCACGTTGAGATCGAGGAGTCTGTTGTGCATGTCGATATAAAAGATCACGTTGAGACTGAGGGGTCTGCCACGATGTGAGGATGACGGCGATGATGAGCTGTTCCAATAAATGATGACGAGGCGATGATGAAGTCGATCGTCATATAAAGGCGACGTTCACCATCCAAGAAGGGAACGGTGATCCCGATCGCTAGCTCAAGACTCTCAGCGCTGAAGAAGCCAGTCTTGAGATAGATAATCACGCCAAGGCCGATGGACCGGTCGTGATGTGAGGACGACGACGATGAGGAGTCGGTCCTATAATATGATGACGGGGTGATGATGCATTGACCGTCATATAGAGGCGATGGTCACCATCCATGAAGGGATGGCGAGCCCAATCGCTATAACAAGACTTCGGCGCTGGGAGCCGGTCTTGAGATAAATAATCACGTCGAGGCCGAGAGGCCAATCGTGCTGTGCTGACGGCGATGCTGAGAAACCAGTCCGATAATATGATGATGAGGCAATGATGAGCTGGTCATCATATAGAGGTGACAGTCGCTATCCGGGAAGGGAGTAGCAAGCCCGGTCGCTAAATCAAGACACTCAGCACTGGAAGCCGGTGTTAAGATAAATAATCACGCCGAGGCCGAGGGTCGGTCGTGATCTGAAGACGTCGACGATGCAGGGCCGATCATCATATGATGAAGGAAAGGAGTTGACGCCAGACTAAACATGGAGGATGGCGGAGCCGGTCCGATGATGGACTAGGCTTAGACGCTCGTCTGAAGATGAGGGACGACGCTGGGCGCTCGTCTGAAGATGAGGGACGGCGTTGGGCGCTCGTCTGAAGATGAGGGACGGCGCTGGGCGCTCGTCTGAAGATGAGGGACGGCGCTGGACGCTCGTCTGAAGATGAGGGACGGCGCTGGGCGCTCGTCTGAAGATGAGGGACGGAGCTGGGCGCTCGTCTGAAGATGAGGGACGACGTTGGACGCTCGTCTGAAGATGAGGGACGACAATAGGCGCTCGTCTAAAGATGAGGGACGACGCTGGGCGCTCGTCTGAAGATGAGGGACGGCGTTGGGCGCTCGTCTGATCCACATGTATCGTCTTGCTTCGTCCATAATGCATAGTATTTGCCTGATATGTACTTAGCGAAATTTGTGGGGATTTTATTTTTATTGCTCGAGGCCTATAAGTGCACGGTCCATCGGCTTCCCTCTTTTGATTTGTGGGGATTTCGCTCGAGGCCGGCGAGTACTCGGTCCTCGGCTGTCCCTCTTTTGATTTGTGGGGATTTCGCTCGAGGCCGGCGAGTGCACGGTCCTCGGCTATCCCTCTTTTTTGACTTCCTCCTTACTTCTTTGAGTGAGGAGTGGGATCCTTCTGTAACATTTGAGATTTAATTTAAATGGATTAATAGTACTACTCATACAAACAAGGTGCATCTCCTTTTAAGGGAGCTCATTAGCCAAGAACTCCAAAGTTAAGCGTGCTTGCACGGGAGTAGTCTTGGGATGGGTGACCCCCTGGGAAGTTTCTCAGGGCGCGCACGAGTGAGGACAAAGTGCGCGGAAAAGGCTAGTGACGGTTTGTGAGGACAGTACTACAGGTCAGAAGTAACTACCTAGGGGCCTACGAGGCCGGGGTGTTACAAATGGTATCAGAGCAACCCTGCGACAGTGTGCTGATCCATTGGATATCGGACAGACACTTAGTAGGGGGAAAGATTCTGGGATTTGATTGAGATTGGTTTACGAGCGCAACGAGGACGTTGCGTTCCTAAGTGGGGGTGATTGTAACATTTGAGATTTAATTTAAACGGATTAATAGTACTACTCATATCAACAAGGTGCATCTCCTTTTAAGGGAGCTCATTACCCAAGAACTCCAAAGTTAAGCGTGCTTGCACGGAAGTAGTCTTGGGATGGGTGACCCCCTGAGAAGTTTCTCAGGGCGCGCACGAGTGAGGACAAAGCGCGCAGAAAAGGCTAGTGGTGGTTTGTGAGGACACTACTAGAGGTGAGAAGTAACTACCTCGGGGCCTACGGGGTCGGGGTGTTACACC